TAAATCCCCCGAGGTGGTCCAAGTGCCAAGTCCTGATTGGAAATGCTGAGGGCAAATGACCATTGGCATGGCTCTGTGTTGTTTTTATGGACTTCTCTGTCCCTACATTGCAGGAGGTCGCCAGGCTGTGCCTGAGGGTGACCCTTACCAAGACTGGGAGCAGCCTTCATGCCCCAAGAGGATGTTTTGCAGACATGTGGGTCCTGTTCTTGATCCCTCATTGCCAGGCCAGGGTGATCCGAGGGTGAGAGGCTCATTTTGAGGGATCCCAGGGGAGGCACAGTTGTGTGAGGATGTCCTTGCAGATCAGAGACCCTGGGGCCTTGGCCTCCAAGGCCATGAGCAACAGACTGCTAGCTGGTTGACTCCTGCCGGGTTCCACGTGGACACCTTCTCTGGCAGGCGTTTTCTCAGAGCGGTGGCTCCGTGTTGCACACATGCCAGGGCCCTGAAAGCTCACCAATATGGACGGAATAGGCCACCTGTTGACAGGACAGCCTCCAGGCTCAAGTCCAGACTTGAGGCTCCTCTGGCCTTGGACCCCTGCAGCTCTGTTCTTCCCTCCATGTCCTATGTGCAGAAGTGCCATCCCCCTCCAGAGACCTCCCAGACACTCTAATATCAGACCGCAGTCTTCCCGCCACTGCAAGTGAGCCGTCCTTCCACGTGGCTTCTCTAGACAGAACGAAAACCCAGTCTGTCCCAAGGCCACTTTGGCCAGGCACCTTTCAGACATTCTAACCCTCTCTGTTCAGGGAGAGAGACAGACACCTCCACTCTGTCTACCGAAGCTCCAGGTAGATGTGTCCATAGAGTGAACTGGAAGAACGATACACGAGGGCAAGAGAGATGTGGAGGGCTTCTAGCACAAGCTATATCTATGGAGAGATAAACACGATCCACCCATGGGTCTGGATGCATGGAGACCTGGAGATACAGATATATTTGTGCATATGTGAATGGGGTTAGAGATAGAGGTTTATTTGATAGAAGCGACCAAGATAGGAATTCTTTGGTTCCTTCCCCCTTGAAACACAGACGTGTTGGACATGGAGGGGGTGGGTCTCAAATGACCAAATTCACAATCTCTCCTCTCGGGGGGTGTGTCAAATAGGTAGGGGCAGAATAAAACCCCAAGGAAAAAATGTGCCAATGCCCACATTTTCTTGTAAATGTTTTGACCCATGATCCTATCTGGAGGTTCAGTGCCCATACTCTGAGTTGCATAAACATGATGCTCTGACAGAGTGGGCATCGGTGTGTGTCCACTTGTGAGAGAAAGCGAGAAAAAGTGGTAGAGATAGACACCCAGAGAGAGAGATCTGAGGAAATAGCGACAAGGAGAGGTGGGGGAGGCAAAGAGCAGGGAAGGGAAGTAGTTTCATTCCCAGCATAGTAGGATGAACCTTAGGTATGAATTTGGCCACTGTTGAGAACAGTGGGGTCAAATATAATGTGCATGGACTGTCTGCCACTTGGGTTCAAACACATCCCTTGGAGGAATGCTTGCCCATCAGGCACCATTAACCAGGTGAAACTTGATGACCGCCAGGAAGGGTTAGTGCTGCCCCATGAGGTTGTCTGTGCCCAAAGCTGTGAACTGCACTTAGGCATACCAATGGCTTCCGCAGCCAGTCCCAGGGTCAGGAAGAATCTCACATCTCTGAAGATTGGCAGGCATGAGAGGACAGGAGGGAAATGGAATAAATCACAACCAAGAGATCACAATTGGGAGGCAAAAATAGGTTTATTGGACCAATGGATTTTCCCTTCACGCTTGTGATTCGATTAGAGATTTCCTCCAAGTTAACCCTTGCAATTGGAGAGAGGTGACCCTGCTGACAGAAGGCCACTGAGAGGCTGACTGGGAACATCTTTCTTCCTGAGAAGTGAAGGAACACTGTGGGTAGAGAGACATGCCAATACATACCAACAAATAGAAAACAAATGCTAAGGTTTAGGAGTGAGTCACAGTGGTACCCTTTCTGGAATGCCTGCTGAGAGTGGCTGTGGCCCTTCGTGCTGCCTTTTTGTGTTCTTTGGAAAGGCTCCCCCGGGGCAAAGATGCAAGCCAAAGGCCCCAGGGCATTCCAGAATTTGGCTGGGACAGGATCACTGAGAGATGGGAGACTGCAGTCGTTTGCTGTTTCGCTGGTTCCCAGCCTATCCCAGCCAGGATGGATTCGTGACCCTGGGCTCCCAAGGTCAGGATGTGTAGCATCCTGGCTTGGTCTACACGTTCAGCTCCTGGAGAGGGGACTTTCTGTCTGGGCAGGAGGAAAAGGCATGTCAAGGTGATCTTCTTCGACCTCTCCTCCTTGCTTGGTTTGGCTGCCAGGACCAGAGTTTCCCAGTCTACAGAGGAAAGGGTGATGGCAGGGAGGATGTCACGTGTGTGTCCTGACAGTGCTTTGGATCCATCTGATGTCGGGGAGTGTGCCCATTACCTGGTGCCCATGGTGCCTTCAGAGGATTTGTGGAGCTTGGTGCTCATCGGGAAGGCAATGGAGGCCCACGCACAGGGCAGAAAGGACATCCTTCTTTTGTCTTTCCAAGCAATGGATGCTGCTTTGGGCGTCAGTCTTCCTCTGGAACATGCACAATGCTGCCTGTTCCTCCTCCTTGCTGACCCGCTAGGACTGCATCTCAGGAAAGATCTGAATGAGTGTGGGGTAGGAAGGATGAGGCCTCCCTGCTCCTAGGCATGAGGCCATGTGGAGTCATGCAGCATCGCCAGCAGGGCGTGAAACTCCTCCTCGCTGAGGGGTGCTTCCAGGGGTCCCAGAGCATCTTTTTGTGTCAAACGCCCACTGAGAATAGGGTGTGTGTCTTCTTCAATCTCTGCAGCTGAGAAAAGTTCCTCTAAAAATCCTGAGGTTTCTGCAGAGGGTTGGTGCTGTGGGTTGAGCGCAGCAGATAGCCCTGCAGTAGGATGTTCCTGCTGCTGCCAGCCAGGGGTCTCAGCATGTGCAGTCTGCAGAACTGCCCCATCCTGAGCATGTCTTGTGCCGATGACAAGCTGGGACCCCTCGCCCCAGCACTGGGCAGCGCTTTTGCTCCCGGGGTGCCCTGCCTCCTTCAAGCCTTGGCAAGGATTGTCAGCTAGAGGATGGGGGTAGTCTTGGAAGGGCAGGGGTACCATGCCAGGGTGCTCATGTTGCTGCTGGTCTTCCCCTTGGGACGGGGGGCAAAGAAGAGCGTGTCGAACAGAGAGACACCCTCCCAGAGTCCGTCCCATCAAGGAACGGCTCCTCAGGCCTTCAGCAGCAGGAAAGTTGTTTCCTCCTTGCCCACCTTGGGTGGGCGGGACCATCATGGCCCCCAGGGCCTGGCTCCCAGGGCCCCCACAGAAAACTGGAGGGGCAAAGCCCATGCAGGGCATGGGATTTGTCCCTGCAGCAAGGGCCTGCATGCTTCCCAGAGGAATGGGAGGAATGGACAGAACAAGTGGAGGAGAGCTTGCACGGACACCATCCAGGGGGCCGGGTTCCCCTTGGACTGTCACACGAGGACTGGGTTTGGGGTGTGCTTCCAGGTCCTTCACGGGGCCACTTCTGCTCTGCCCTGGCTGCCGAGTTCTTCTGTTCTGGAACCAGACCTGGGACAGAGAAGAGATGTCATGGACATGAGAAGAATGGATGGATGTCAGCTCTCTTTCCCCCCTACCCCCACCTGGGAACTCTCGTGGAGATGGCCAGGACTCTTGGGCTGAATCTCAGGGGAACTCTGTCCATAACTTTCACCTGGCCCTTAGTAATTAGGTGAAAACCCAGGGAAACTGTGGGTTTCCCCCTTTGATAGGCTTGAAAGGCAGGCGCTCAGCTCTGCTCTGCCTGCTGTTCAGTCCCTAACTTGCTTTCTCTTTGATTGACAATTGCAGCTTTCTGACCAGCCATTCCAGGAGTCCTGTGACAAAGACAGCCGACCGCCTGCCCCTCCTTCCCCAGGCTACTCCAAGTTCTCCAGAATGCCTCAGGGCATCCCTCAACAACTTTCTCTGCCCCGGCGTCTGATTGGGTGTAATCCAAATGGCAAACCACAAACTCTGGCTTGCAGGCCTTCACCCCATGCCTCCTTGCCTCGCATCCTCATGATAGGTAAGTCTACAAGCACAACTCTTATGGGTCTAGAGGAAGGCATGGGCAGCCAGGAGTAAACATCAACAACACTCACATTCGGATTTGGCTTTCCCTCTCCTCTGTTTACTACATGGGAAGAAAAGTTCTCAGGATCGAGCACTTTGCGCTTCCCCTGTGTCCAGGGACAAGCCTTGTCAGAGTACTGGCCCATGAAGGCCCGCTTGAAGCAGGGTCACTGGCTCTTGTCCCAAAGGAGATGTTTCCAGGGAGTCTGCCTCCATATACCATAAGGGCGTTTCACAACTCCTATACCAGGAACCACTCTCTGCAGAGCCTTCTCAACCAGGGCACGTGGGACCTCTCACCCACCTGTCAATAATCCTTGGGACAAATATCCTGGATGATTAGGTTATCCAGACAAGGTGTGTTTTGTGGGTAGAATCCATTCTTGCCCTGGGGTGCTGAGGCCCAGGACACTGACAAACACGTTGCCACACAAAAGAGAGCCACCCCACTCACACTCACAAAATCCAGAAGTCCACATGAAGAGTGCTACTATGATGCTCAAGAACTGACAGTTTGTGTGATCTCTAGATAGCTGCCAATATTTCTGTTTCCCGTCTTTTGTCTGCTCACCATTTCTATATGCATGTACACTGCCAACTCCCCCCCCCCAAACACACACACCATTTGGTATGGAAATTCTTCCTTGGACGGTCAATCACTTGCAAGTTCAACATATTTCCCCCATTGCCTGGGCATTGGATCCTGTGGATAACTCAAAGGAGCCCACGATTCCCCAGCAACGTCTCAGGCACCACTATCCCTTCCACGTTGAAAAACTCACGGGCCACACTCTGAAAATGTACCTGAATGCGGGATTCCTGAAGACCAATGAGTCTGGCCAGGTATTCCCTGGTAGCAATGCTTGGAAAGCAGTTCTTCTCAAAGGCTTGAAGGAGGATACTGGTTTGGGATGGAGAAATGGATGTCCGTTTCTCCTGCCTTCCTTGGGAGATGTTCTAAAAAGAGAATAGAGTTAGAAAGGAGACCTTTGAAGCCACTGGCACATCCAGTGTAGAAAGAGAAATTGGTGTCCGTGTGCACGCATGTGTGTGTCCGTGTGTGCGCGTGTGTGTTTGTGTGTTCTCTCATGCTTCTCCATTTTCTCTATAGCCTCTCCTCCCTGAGTCCACTGAGGACAGCATGGACCCACCCACACAATCCAGTGCTTGGATCTAAGTTCTGAGGTGACCCCAGAAGAGGACTCTGTCCTTCCTACAGTTTCAGGACAAGATGATTCAAAGCCTTTCTTGCCCAGAAACAACGCACCCGCCCAACAGGTGGTGCATGCACAGTGTCCATCTCTGGGAACAGAAAGGCGGCTGGAACCAGTGGCTATGGGTTCCTCTGTTAAGCCTTCTTGCCAAACACATGGCAAGCACATGCAAACCCGTTCCTGTGTCAAGGAGAAGATCAAGAAGGGACCCGTTTTAAATGCTGGGGAGTTACCTTGAGTCCAAGCTGGAGGCTGTTCCTGTCCATGTGGTGACCCTTCCCCTTGGGATTTGGCAGACCCCGGTTGGCTCTGCCTTAGCTGTCTCGTGCGCTGGTTCTGGAACCACACCTAAATGGTAAAAGAAGAACGGATGATCAGGCAACACTGGTGGACATGATCTATCTATCTATCTATTATCTATCTATCTATCTATCTATCTATCTATCTATCTAATGTTTTGTTTTGTTTTTTCTCATACCTAATGTCTCAGAGTGTTTTGCGTGAACCATGCGATAACTCTGGACAAATGATCTCTAGGGAAAGTCAGCGAAGATATGTTGGCCTCTTGGAATATCCCAGGCCTGGCGCACCAATAGTACCTGGGTTCCACGAGTGAATGACTTGGAATGACTTCAAAGGGCATGAGCTCAACAGAGATGCACATATAGGGGACAAACCTTCTTAGCTCCCAAGCTGAGCATGTAGATTGACATGCAGTGGCTTGGGCCTGATAGTGTCCATGAACTGTCCCCCAGTTAAAATGCAAGTGAAGCTGAAATCTACCTGGATTCTGGATTCTGGAATGTCTAGCTCTTGGGCCAGTCGTTCTCTGGTGGCGATGCCCGGGTATGGGTTCCACTGGAACAATGCGTGCAGAGCCCCTTGCTGCGTCGGCTTCAAAACAAGCCGCCTCCGTCAGAATCCGCATGGGAGGGGGCCTGTTGCAGGGAAAATGACAACCGTATTAGGAAGGCTTTCATAGGAATGCAAACTGGTGGTGCGGTCCCAGCTCTTCACTTTCTGTGCAGTGGACACCTTCCCCGGCCGGGGCTTCCTGTGCCTTTGCCATTCGTGGATCCAACTAAGGGCCTGCTCAATAGGACAGGCAGTCCACCATCTGCCTATGGGAATGGGTGATAGGCAAGGATCTAGGGAAATACCAACTGCTATCAAACCATGTGATGGCATGCCAGTGAACTGAGGAAACCTGCGGTGGGGATGAAGAGGTGAAAGCACCTTAGGAGAAACAAAGAGGAACCCACTGCTCCTAAAAAACATCAAGGTCCACTCCGACAACACATGGCCCATGAGGTGAAAGTTCTCTTTTTGTAAATGACACCTGAAATAGGTGCTGAATATTTTCCTGTTCTCTGCCACCTGAGATCTAGCTTGCCTATTTGCAAAAGAGGGACTCTTGTTGGGAATCCCGGCCACCAACTTCAGTTTTCATTCTAACGGCAGCCATATGCAAACCTCTCTCTATCCCTTTCCCCCCAGTCCTCCCTGGATCACAATCCCTCCAGCCCTTATGCTGGCAATCGAGGTTGTCTCTTCTACTTTCGGGAGCCCTGGAAAATTATCAGGGACTTTGGGAAATGCAAGCAGGGAGCAGGGCATTGGATGGAAACTTACTCCTTGATGTGCTGGTGGGAGCCATGCCGATGGAGTCACTTGGGTTCCAGAGCACTGGCCAGCCGACACCCCGGGCCCGGACCATGGGTCTTATCAATGCCTGGGATGACCCACCCCTGCATGTCCCACCCCATCATTTCGACAGCTTCCTGTGGTAGCCCTGCCTTCAGTTTTCTGACCTTTAGCAGAAAAGTTCTTCAGGAGGACATCGGGACCACTTGAGGCAAGTGTTTGCCCTGGGCAGGTGGACTTGCCTCGCCGTCAGATGCAATGTGCCTTTCCCACTCCCACTAGCTTTTCTCTGGGATTACAGCCTTGACATCGAATCGTGGTGTTGAGACTCTGGGACTCTGTGTATGACCCTTCGATAATCGCTTCAGATTCTGGCATGTGCGTGTGGAACTCAAATCACCTTCGGCCTCCAAAGACGAGCCTCCTAATTCAGTTCCCTTGTCTTGCATTACATTGTTTTCTATCTTTCTTTTCTTCGTTTACATTTATTTCTTATGTATTGGAACTTTCGTCATTTTTCATTTGAATGTTTTTGTTTTTCCCCTTCATTTTCCTATTTATTATTTTGGCATTACTTTTTTTTTAATATTGATTTTGTAAGTGCCCTGGTATTTTCAACCGTCACCCCACCAGTCAGGACTGGTTAGCCACATAGTTTGGTGTCTATATGCCCTCCACATCTGGGGAACCCGATTGTGATGACATCATGGCATTTCCCAGGCAGCTTGTGAAGCTATAGGTGTGGAGTCAGGTAGGATACTGAAATCAGTCAGCTTAGATCGGTGGCACATGAGAGGGAAATTGCAGAGTTGGCCATCGCCATGTATGTGGGTGGTTTGTCGACACTATTATTTGCTTGTGGGTTTGCACATGAGTGTGTGTGGCAAACCACCTCCTCTGACTCAGAGGCTTTGAACCCTTTCCTCCCAGAGCTGATTCCTCTATTGGCACATCTCTTATGGGCCTTGGAGACAGCTTGGCATCTAGAAGTTCCTTATCAACAACACCAGCATTTCGATTTGACTCTCTTTCCTTTTGTGGCCGGAAGAAAATTTTAACTCTCATTGGCACCTTCAGTTTCTTCTCTTTCTGTGTGTAAGAGGTGTCAGCGGTGGAGCAAGATTGCAGAGGAGTAGGAGACCTGGATTTCGTCTGGTCCCAGGAATTCAGCTGGATAGGGATCAGACCATTCTGAGCACCTACAAACTCAACAGGAGATCGAAGAAAAGAATAGCAACAACTCTCTGATCAGAAAAGCGAACATTTTCTGGAAGGGAGGACGTGCGGAGAAGTGAATCCGAGGCAATATTCGGGAGGATAGATGGTGGGGGAGGGGGACTCCGTCAGCTGCTTTTGGCAAGTGATAGAGTCGCAGAGCACAAAATTGGAAATTTTAGAAGTCAGCACCGCTGAGGGACGTTGCTCCAGTGGCTAAGCGGGGGTGGGACTCTCATGGGACAGTGTGGTCTCAGGACCCTCGGGGTCATAGAAAGACCGGGGGTCCCTGAGTTTGGCAGAGCCCCCAGTTATCAGAGCAGGGAAGCCGGCTGCAGAGACAGACCCAAGGCACGGGCTTTCAGCTCGGGGTTGCCACAAACTGTGATCAGTGACACAGTCAGGCTACTGCTCCTCCAACAGGTCCTCAACATGTGGCAGATCTGGGGAGACTCCTCTTCCACCCCCGGGAGGAGCGGTGCAGGAGCACACCATAGGTGTCTGCTGGGTTTGGAGACTCCACACCGAGCCAGGTGCCAGAGATAGAAATGCTTGGTCACAGGCCAGGTTTGCATGGAGTACGGCCGGAGACAGGGAGGCAGGAGTGAATGACTGCTTTTTTCTGGGGGTGCACTGAGGAGTGTGGTCCCTGAGTTCTCGTGTCCTCCATGGCAGAGATTGGGAGGCCGCCTTTTTCACTCTCCTCCAAAGGTGAACGGAAAGTTTGCAGGGAACAAAATCTACTGAGAGCAAAGCGGAGAAAATTACTTACCACAGACCAGCAAGGGTGGGGCAATTCCCTCTCCAGCAAAGACATTTGGGAACCACGGCATAAGGTCCCTTCCCCAGAAGATCAGCAAGAACAGCCAGCCAAGACCAAGTTTACCGATCAATGAGAACAGCAGAACTCCAGGACTAGGGGAATACTGCACATAGAATTCAGGCCTTTTTTCCATGACTCTTTAGTCTTACAAAGTTAATTTTTTTAAACTCTTTTTTTTGAATTTTTCTTGTTCCCTTTTTCAACCAACATCTTATCAATCTCCTTTTTAAGAAACATTTTGATTTTTCATTTTTAGAGTCATATTCTATCCCTTCATAATAGTTACCCTTATTTTGGCATATATATATATTTTGTTCTCTCTTTAAAATTTTGAGATACAGTTTCTTCTAATAGATCAAAATATACTTTAAATCTCTAGTGTATGGCTTTGTTCTCGTCTCCTACATTATCACATACTCTCCCTTTTTTGTTCTTTCTTTTTTAAAAAATCCTCTTCTTTCTTTTTTCAAACAACTTCATATCTTATCAATTACTTTTAAAAAATTTTATAATTATCGTCTTTACAGTCATAATCCATCCTTTCATCATATCAACCCTTATTTTTGTACGTATATAAGTTTTACTTTTTTAAAAATATTTGGAGTCACTTTCTTCTAAGAGACCAAAATATACCCAAAATCTAGTGTGTGGTAATGACTTATGCACCAGCCTGATCGTACTTGATCATATTCTGTTTTATTTGTTTTGTTCTGTTTTTATCTTTATTTTTATCTTTTTCTTTTTTCTATCTTTCCATTTCTTTTCCCCTGGTTTCAGGTATTTCCTGATTGTTTAGAGAATATTTTCTGGAGACATTTTTACCCTGTTAGCATTTTGTTCACTCATTCATCTCTTCTCCTCTGGACAAAATGACAAGATGGAAAAAGCACCTCAACAAAAAGAATAAGTAGTACTGACTGCCAGGGACCTACTAAATATGGACATTAGTACGATGTTGGACCTAGAGTCAGAATCATGATTTTAAAGATACTAGCTGGACTTGAAAAAAGCATGGAAGTTAATAGAGACACCTTCTCTGGAGAAATAAAAAAAACTAAAATATAACCAAGTCGAAATCAAAAAGACTATGAATGAGGTGCAGTAAAATATGGGGGCACTAACTGCTAGGATAAATGAGGCACAAGAGAGAATCAGCGATATAGAAGACCAAATGATGGAAAATAAAGAAGCTGAGAAAAAGAGAGATAAACAACTACTGGATCATGAGGGCAGAATTCGAGAGATAAGCAATACCATAAGACAAAACAACATTAGAATAATTGGGATCCCAGAAGAAGAAGAAAGAGAGAGAGGAGAAGAAGATATATTGTAGGAAATGATAGCAGAGAACTTCCCTAATTTGGGGAAGGAAACAGGCATCAAAATCCAGGAGGAACACAGAACCCCTCCGAAAATCCATAAAAATAGGTCAACACCCCGACATCTAATAGTAAAACATAAGAGTCTCAGAGACAAAGAGAAAATCCTGAAAGCAGCTCAGGAGAAGAGATTTATAACCTACAATAGTAGAAACATTAGACTGGCAACAGACCTATCCAGAGAGACCTGGCAGGCCAGAAAAGACTGGGATGATATATTCAGAGCACTAAACAAGAAAAATATGCAGCCAAGAATACTATATCTAGCCAGGATGTCATTGAAAATAGAAGGAGAGATAAAAAGCTTCCAGGACAAACAAAAATTAAAGGAATTTGCAAACACGAAACCAGCCCTACAAGAAATATTGAAAGGGGTCTTCTAAGCAAAGAGAGAGCCTAAAAGCAACGTAGAACAGAAAGGAACACAGACAATATACAGTAACAGTCACCTTACAAGCAATACAATGGCACTAAATTGATATTTTTCAATAGTTACACTGAATGTAAATGGGAAAATGATGCAATCAAAAGACAAAGGCTATCAGATTCGATTAAAAAACAAGACACATCGATATGCTGTCTGCAAGAGACATATTTTAACCCAAAGACACCACTAGATTGAAAGTGAGGGGGTGGAAAACTATTTACCATGCTAATGGACACCAAAAGAAAGCTGAGATGGCAATCCTTATATCAGACAAATTAGATTTTAATGCCAAAACTATAATAAGAGATGAGGAAGGACAGTATATCCTACTTAAAGCGTCTATCCAACAAGATCTAACAATTGTAAATATCTATGCCCCGAACATGGTAGCAGCCAATTACATAAGCCATTTAATGACAAAAGCAAAGAAGCACATGGACAACAATACAATAATAGTGGGGGACTTAACAGCCCCCTCACTGCAATGCGCAGATCATCTAAGCAAAAATTCAACCAGGAAATAAAGACATTAAATGACACACTGGTCCAAATGGACTTCACAGATATATTCAGAATATTCCATCCCAAAGCAACAGAATACACATTCTTCTCTAGTGCCCATGGAACATTCTCCAGAATTGATCACATCCTAGATCACAAATCAGGTCTCAACTGCTACCAAAAGAATGGGATTATTCCCTGCATATTTTCAGACCACAATGCTTTGAAACTAGAACTCAATCTCAAGAGGAAAGTTGGAAAGTACTCAAATACATGGAGGCAAAAGAGCATCCTACTAAAGAATGAATGTATCAACCAGGAAATTAAGGTAGAGTTAAAAAATTCATGGAAACCAATGAAAATTAAAATACAACTGTTCAAAGTCTTTGGGATGCAGCAAAAGCAGTCTTAAGAGGAAAGTATATAGCAATACAAGTCTTTCTCAAAAAACAGGAATGCCCTCAAACACACAACCTAACCCTACACCTAAAGGAGCTGGAGAAAAAACAGCAAATAAAGCCTAAACCCAGCAGGAGAAGAGAAATAATAAAGATCAGAGCAGAATTCAATGAAATAGAAACCAAAAGAACAGTAGAACAGATCAACGAAACTAGGAGATGGTTCTTTGAAAGAATTAACAAGATTGATAATCCCCTGGCCAGACTTATCAAAAAGAAAAGAGAAATGACCCAAATCAACAAAATCATGAATGAAAGAGGAGAGATCACAACCAACACCAAAGAAATACAATCTATATTGGTTCCATTTCTTTGAAAGACAGTATGGTACTGGCACAAAAAGAGACACATAGATCAATGGAACAGAATAGAGAGCCCGGAAATGGACCTTCAACTCGATGGTCACCTAATCTTCGAGAAAGCAGGAAAGAATGTCCAATGGAAAAAAAACCGTCTCTTCAACAAATAGTGTTGGGAAATTGGACAGCCACATGCAGAAGAATGAAACTGGACCATTTCCTTACACCACACACAAAAATAGAGTCAAAATTGTTGAAAACCTCAATGTGAGACGGGAGCCCATCAAAATCCTAAAGAAAAACACAGGCAGCAACCTCTTTGACCTCAGCCGCAGCAAATTCTTCCTAGAAACAACGCAAGTGGCAAGGGAAGCAAGGGCAATTATGAACTACTGGGAATTCATCAAGAGAAAAAGCTTTTGCAGAGCAAAAGAAACAGTCAAAAAAACCAAAAGACAACCGACAGATGGGAGAAGTTATTTGCAAATGATATATCTGATAAAGGGGTAATATCCAAAATCTGTAGAGAACTTATCAAACTCAACACCCAAAGAACAAATGATCCAATCAAGAAATGGGCAGATGACATGAACAGATATTTTTCCAAAGAAGACCTCCAAATGGCCAACAGACACATGAAAATGTGCTCAACATAGCTCGGCATCAGGGAAATCCAAATCAGAACCTCAATGAGATACTACCTCACACCAGTCAGAATGGCTAAAATTAACAAGTCAGGAAATGACAGATGTTGGTGGGGATGCGGAGAAAGGGGAACCCTCCTACACTGTTGGTGGGAATGCAAGAGGTGTAGCCACTCTGGAAAATAGTATGGAGGTTCCCCAAAAAGTTCAAAATAGAGCTACCATACAATCGAGCAATTGAAGTACTGGGTATTTATCACAAAGATACAAATGTAGGGTTCTGTAGGGGTATGTGCACCAATATGTTTATGGCAGCAATGTCCACAGTAGCCAAGCTGTGGAAAGAGCCAAGATGTCCATTGACAGATGAATGGTTGAAGAAGAAGTGGTTTATATACAAAATGGAATATTATGCAGCCATAAAAAGGAATGAGATCTTGCCATTTGCTGCGAAGTGGATGGAACTGTAGGTGTTATGCTGAGT